AATTGAACATTTTAATTCTCTTTTATTTAATTCTAGTTCAATTCATTACTTTTTGTTTCATTCTTTTTGCCTTCTTTTTTGATCTTTTAATAATTTAGTCAATATTTTTATGACAAATTATGCATAAATCATGGGTGATAGGGATGATAAGGTTATAACAAAAGCAATAATCCTACCGACATCAAATTTTAGACTTATTATAATTTGTAAAAAAATTAAATGAGCCTGAAGAGTTGCATAGATTTGGTGCTAATAAAATTCTTTTTAATATTATGAATGTATCAAACAAATGTTTTAAATACTTTAGAAAATTTTTATATAAATTCTAATGACATTGTTTAACGTCAAATGCATGTTTGTTTATTTCAGCATAAACATTTACTTATATATGTATATTTTTAAAAAACATTAATGTATATTTTTAAAAAACATTAATCACCTTAATCATAAAAATATACATAAATCAGTTAATAGAGCTATCATTAATGTTATGGGTTTGTTTAAATTAGTACTTTTAAAAAACTGATGTGATGTTGTTGTTCCTCATAACAATCTTCACTTGTCATATGCATACGTGTATCACGTATGATAACCATTGAATGCGTCATAGTTTAATTTGATTTAAGCCAAATTTTTTTGTTAAAAAAATATGAAATAAATGCTATAACGCTTTAATAATTCTAAGCATAGGAACTATAATTCTAATCAAATTCAAAAGTTTGTTTATTATAAATTGCTAATTATTAGCATGTTGTTTGAAATACTGGACAATGATTTTTTTTATTTTGATAATTGAATTAATTTATTTCATTGTAAAATGCAGTTAGTTTACTGTTATAAACAGTAAAATTGTTAATATTCATCAAAATATATTGCCATTTTAAATGCAATAAACGAAATTTTGTTTTAAGAATTTTTTGTTTTCTTAATTATTTCGTTTATTGTAATTAATTTTATAAAACAACAGTCAAGACAAAGGCGAAAGGGTAAAAGAATCAATATTTCTGATCATATTAATAAATAATATCCGAAATGATATCAAGTCAATCTGATGAGCATGAAAATTCAAATTTTATTCTCAATCGAGCAAAAAAGATTCGTTTTGTCCTTCGTTATTTTCTGACCTAAACACAAGTAAGCTTATTGATGAAATCAATTTAAATTAACTTCTAAACTGTTATGCTGAACTTCTGAAGTTTTCGGACCTTTTAATTTATAAAAATTTTCCTAAAAATTTCTTTAAATAATTAGCATCAAAATGAAAGTATTTTGTTAATGTTAAATATGAAGGAATTTTTTAAAGTTTTTTTAAAAATTTATACATCATAAATGATTTTTAATCTGTTGGAACGATAAAATACATTAAACAATGAAACAAAAATCATTCTCACTGGTAAGTAAATTCCACCAAATGAATGAGGAACATAAATTTAAAGTGAAAATTTTAAAAATTTATTTTATAAATAATAATAATAAAAGAGCCAAACAGACTAACGCACTGATAGAAGCAATAGGACAAGAAAGATATTAAAAAATTCGGAAAATACTGGGCTGATAATTGAAATACTTCTCATATTTGCTGGAATATAGAAACCTAATTTGTATAAGACAATCATTTTTTAATTCGCAAATTTTCAAAAAAAAAATTTTAATAAATTTAAAGATCTGTAAATTCGAAGATTCAGGATTCTTTGAAATTGATTCCATTAATAGTTGATATATGCTTGGGCCAGAAAAAACAAATGACTAACGGAATAATGTCATTTTTCGTAACATCCACCGATTTCATATTGCCAAAAAATCATCATAATGAATTATTCATATATTTCTGTCATGAAATAAATCAATCATCAAGTCATAAAAATCGTAGCAATCTATAATTGCATAAGGCAACAAAGAATTTTAATTTAACTTATCTAAAACAGTTAGGACAGAATAAATTGTGCATTCGGGGAGAATGTTTGAAATGCAACTGTAACTGAAACTATATTTAAATTGTAAAAAAAAATTATGCAGTAATTTTGCGAAAAAGTTTCGGCAGATTCTATCTCGAAAAAAATTTTATTTGAGATGCTTTGATAATATCATATTTTGTATTAATAGAATAACCAAATTGTTGCTATTTCAAATTTCTAAATTTTATATTTTCAAATAATTTTCAAAAATTTTTCTTTTATATCTTAAATTTTTGCAATAATGGAATTAAAATGATAACAGTTCCATTTCTATACCATTTTGTTGTTTAAAAGTGTATTTTAAGGAATATTCAATTATAGGGACTTGTTGATGGTTATGGTTGACTTGGTTTATTGTTAAACAATATGGGAAGTTAGGATAGTAATCTTCAGAAACATTAATAATATGTGTAACATCGTTTTCATACAAGTATTAATTGAAGTGGAAAATTAAATTGGAACTTATTTTTGATTCATAATTATTTATTTCACTCATATATTTTTAATTTTTTATAACTTTCATTCCTAACAGTCTATTTTTGATGTCTCCATAAACATAATGTAATATCTAAAAGCATGCAAGATAAAATGAAACAACAGTTTTAATTACTTACACATTTAATTTCTTTCATGACTTCAAGTGGATGAAACGCGTATTCAAGCATTTTGAAGTGACATTTCTTCTCTTTTATCATCAAAGAATCCATAAATAGTCTCACTCAAATGGAATTTCAGGATAAAAAGCAGTCATTGTGGATAAATTTTAAAAACGAGGAAAAGAGTTAATCATAAATTATTTTTCAGTTTTCAAAATTGCAAGATTTTTCAATAACAAAAGATTTATATTGATTGTAAACCTTTATTACCATTACATTTATAATGTCTCATCTTTACCTTTATCTGAAATAAATTTTGAAAAAATCGAATTTAAAAATAAAAAAATTAACTGCATTTCTCTACAGAATTGCAGAAACTTGCAATAGTTACGGTAATGGAAAAGTTTTCGTGATAATTGGAGAAAGTTGTGAAACATCATAATTCGAAATATTTTCACACCATTAAAGAAGTGCACAGTATTGACAGTGAGTATTGACATACGTTACAGTAATGAATAAATTATTTGTAAAATATAGTATCATTTAATTTAGAAGTTTTATGCAATTATAATTTGCTAGTGTATTTTTGAATTTTACAAATTGAAATAATTGTTAGAAAATTTCAGATATACCACAATGTCTGAAATAATCATACTTAGGAAAAAATTGATCACAAATTTTGAATCGAAAAATGTTATTACTGTAGACAGCGAATGAAGCACATAATGGTGGAACATATAATAGTAGTCACTACGATATAGCATTACAGCATGGTTTAACATACAGTAGACGAATATCAGCGGTTTATAATATACAGTAAACGAATGTCAGCAGTAAACGAATGTATGATGCATATACGGTAGACAGATGTCATTCGTTCCTGGTACTACAGTAGACGAAAAGCAGCGGTGTGCGATGTAACATTGCAGTGCATGATTTAATATACCATAGATAAATATTATGGCAGTATCCGATGTAAACATCATTACTGGCTAATAATAATTAAAGAAATATCATGGAGGAAGCTCGTAATCCATCTATTAGTCCTGCTATCAAAGATTTCAAATATTTGGCATCTAAAAGAATTAACATTTTTTTAGCTTAACACTTTCAAAGAAATTATTCATTGATATTGATGGAATATCAAAGTGAAGTTTCGTCGAAAAATATGAAATGCGTGACTTGCTAATTTTCTTCGATTTCATTATTATTTATTTCAATTGACAATAAATCAATGTATCCGTTTTTTGTTTAACTTTCAATTCCACAGTTTTTATATTATTTTTCACTTTTCCATGCCAATTATTCTTGAATTTACTTAAATTAATAACACAATTAATGTATATCATTTGTTATGGTTATCTTTCGCTGTCCAAATTGATAAGATTTCGATTATTTCCAGTTTTATAATGCAGACAGCTCGTCGCTTCATTTATATTAATGCAAAGAGGTGGAGTATTTTTGATATCAGTGTAATAATATAACACTCAAATTTAAAAATTGACAAATTCAGTTAATTTTACACGTTTTGATTTTTAATTTTTTTATCAATATCCAACATAACTGCAATAAATTTTATATGCTATCCATTACTATTTTTGCATAATATCTTATACTACTGAAATTTTCATACAATCGTGCAATTAAAACTAATTGAAGATTTTAAGGCAATCAATTTTTTTTATAATTTAAAATGAAACAAGTGGTAAAATGAATTAAGCTTTTTTATTTTTTAATTATTTCATACAATATTCAGTTTATGATTAATTAATTCATCACGACATGCATCAGATAGAAATTTTTTTCGCATGATATTAATAATCGATTTATTAAATCCCTTTTCTCTATCTTTAACTTTCTTATTTAATTAGTTTATTCAAGCCTTACATTTCAGCTCCATCAACGAAATATGAAAAGAGGAATTATTATATCATTTCTATTCTCACCACTTTCAATTGAAACTAATTGAAGATTTTAAAGCAATCAATTTTTTTTTTGTAATTTAAGACGCAATTGAATCATTCTTTTTTTAATTTTCGTAAAATGAGTTGGGAAGTTTTTTTTTTAATTTTTAATATCAAGAATTTAATCCTAAAATGATTGATATTATTGAGATTCCGGAATCTTATGGATTATTCATGATGTACTTCAGATATTAATATAGATCGAGCATGAATAAAAGAAATTAAAAATGTAATCTCATGTAATCTCTATCACTTGACATGATATCATGAAAGAATTAGTTTAATAATCCTTCCTTTCCTATGTTCTATCTCTCACATATTTCTCTCGAAGATCTCTTCATACAACTGTGTATGTATGAAAAATAATTTCAATCTGTTTTGATGGAATATTTTTCATTAATTATCATTTATAACAGTCTTCCAATTATCCTTAACAAATTTTAATTTTTAGGTGAAAAGAAAACATTTCCACAAACAATTTCTCAATGGCTGCAAGTTGGTGTTTGCGTTGAAATTACAAAATTATTTTATTCTTGTTTTTTGTCTTATTCTAAAATTTCAAGAAAGTTATATTATATTAAATTTCAAGCTTTCACTATTATCAAAAAGTTATATTGCCTATTTATGATATTTAAAAGTTAAAATTTATGTCCATTAAAAGTTATATTAAAAATTAGTAAACTAATTAAAATTCTTAAATTAATCAAAAGCATTGTCGATTTTTTTATTTAATGTGTTTCATTACAAAAGTTCAAAGAATTCTGATTTTATATTAGAATACATTTAAACAATATTATAACTTTTCTTCCGATAACATTATAATGAGTAATTCGCAAAAACTTTAATATCTGCAACATTAATAAAAATGTGCCAAAATTTTCATGAGGACAAAAAACATTTTATGAAAAGAATTGAAAAGGTTAATTGTTATTCAAATACAATATTTAATATTTATATTTGTTTTAGATGAAGTAGAAGCGAAGCGGAGTGATTTGGAATATCGTATAATGAATTTAGATTTTGATGCTAAAAAATTTACCGAATTGGAAGATTTACAAATTACTGGCAGATTACAAGAAGTTGGCCGAATTGTTGCTAAACATTTGAATAATGAGCATTTGATGCAGTACATAACACGATTCCGGAAACAGCAGGTTTTCTTTGCTTCTCTAAATGAATTCATTCATTTCAAATTTTCTTTTTAAAAATATAGGGCTATTTCAACATAAGTCAAACTTTCTTGTTTAAAAAAATTAAATTTTGAGAGAAAAAAGTATTTTTTCAAATCTTTTCAAAGCTTGAAAAAATTCGAACTTTAATTAAACAAATTTGATCAATTCGACAACTTCACTCAGAAAATCAAATAAAATTTAATTGGCATTGGTTTACTTGTTTGATCAAAATATTTTATGAATATACATGCTATCGATTAGTCGCATAATTTTACGACAGTTCGATTTATTTTTCTCAATTAATTATATTTGCTTATTGTTACAGAATCGTTTGAATGCAGCAACAATAGCTATCGAAGAAAATCAATTGAAAAAATTACGAAATTTACTTGACAGTGATTTAGTAGAAGCAAGAAATGCTAAAGTTACCTACTTTTACTTACTTTAACTTTTTCTTGTGGTATTTTCTTTAAAAAAGGATAATAATTTTCACAATTGCTAGAAAAAAATTATTGTTTTGCTTTGAAAAACACCAATCTGCAATGTTTTTTTTAAATTAATCTTTTAATTTTTATTTTTTTGTTAAAATTTTTTGTTCATTCATTTTTTTCTCTAACTGTGGTAAAAAGGAAAGATTTAATTTCAGGTTTAAGCTTAATTCATATTGCAGTATGTAATGAGCGTCATGAAATTGTTGAATACCTTGCAAATGTTTTCCCAAAAAGCATCGATATTTTAGACGTGGTATCATCTACCTTAATTAATGGCGTTGATTATAATTTTGATTTTTTTAGAATATTTGAAAAAAAATTTTTTCGAGATTTCCATACATTCTATTATTAATTATGACTAACATTTGTTTGTAATTCTAACAACTAATTGATCGACTAAGATATTTACTTTTTTGTCACTGTGGAAACAATATTAATCAATTACTAAATCATCCAAAATGGGAATGATTATTTGCAAAACAGCAGTTAACTTTAATAGAGAGCAATAGAGTGGATATTATTTTACAGTAATTTACTAATGTATCTCAAACTGATCATGCAATAAAAACAGAATAATTAGTTTCTGGGATGTAATTAAAAGATCGAATAATGAGTTAAGAATTTTGCAGAATGGTCGAGCAGCAATACATTATGCAGCAACTCAAAAAAATGCAATTTATGATACATTGGTCGATTGTGGGGCGGATAGCTCACTTGCTGATGGAGTATGTTTAAATATCCTGATATTTATTTTTGTGTTAAAATCACGTAGAATGTATTGTATTTACATGTAATATAGAATATCCTAATTTTGATTACTTTCAAAATACATGGCGAACTAACTCTCAATAAAATTAGGGGAATGATTTAAGGCACATAGCATAAAATAGGTAAATAAGAAAGTTTGATTATTACAAAGGTAAAATAAATCAATGAAGTGATATTTTCAAATTAGCCATAGCCAATAACATCAAATAATAATTAAATTAATCATCCCATCAAATCTCTTTTCTTTGATGCTTATTATGTATAAATATTTAATTTCAGATAAACATCAAATATTTTAAACCTTTTTTTGTTACGAAAAAAATACTTGTTTTAAAGGATAACAATTTAAGATAAATTTTAACCAAAATGTAATAGCTGCTATTGCGTGTTAAATTTTATACAAATATGAAATATTTTCAAATTTGTTTTAAATATTTTTATTTTTGCTTAATTTAAATGATGATAATATATTATGATGTACTTTTATGAATGGGTATAGCTAATTACTATTTTTGCTTTTAAAATGTTTAGCAAAGGATGAAGAGTTTTTTCTTTTAAAACAATATCTGTCATACAGCAAATAATTACTAATTTAATTTTTAACTTAAATTTATGATAAAATTTCCAGATTGGTATAACAGCTGCACAATATCGTGAAGATCCTAGTGCTATAATACCATCACCATTAATAACATCGAAAAGTGCTGATTTGATTTTTAAACGTTATTCGCTCACTGAAAATCTATATGATCCTGGTAGAAAAATCAATTGAATTAATTACCTAATTCTATTTAAATTTTTTAATAAATAAAAAGATGAGCAAATGAAAAACATGTTCTTTCTTATTCTTCTTTTCTCGAATCATTATGATAACAAAAAAAAAGCTTTTGAAAA